TCTGTAGAATTTCAGTATCTTTTCTCGAGCATCAATGCCAACTTATTTTGACCAATATTTTAAAACATATATTTAAATTTTCTCTGTGATTGTTGGAATAAATGAATAATACTTAATGTGTAATTTATTCATATATAATTCAAATTTTCTTAAGTTAAACTGAGAAGCATTAGAGCTCAAGTCAAAATATAATCACATTGTGAGCCATATATTAGTCTAGTATGAGTCAGTCAAAGCACACTGAAATGTATTGGAAATGGACATCTGTAAGATTTGTAAATTCATTTTATGAGAAATTATGGGTTACTTGGGTATGATATTTATATGATTTAAATATGTGGATTTTCATCATTTCATGTACTCATGGTATTATGTAAAACCCGGCCAGATGTTTAGTGAGTTTCTCTCATTTCCTACATGACAGCTTGAAACTGACAAAGATATCCTGTTGGAGAAGGCCGGTATGGCTCTTAAGAAGTACGGAATGCATATGGTGGTAGCTAATGAGCTCTTAACTCGTAAGGAGGAAGTCATAGTTGTGTTACTGAATGATAAGATAAGTGTTAGAAGAGAGAAATCCGAGGCTGGGGCTGATGTAGAGAATCCTCTGATCAAGCTCATTGTGGAAAGGCATTCGGAGTATATAACAGCCTCTTCTTCAGCATAATTGCCTGCAAGTAACCGATTTGCGCTGCAATTTGACAGGTGCTTTTCATCAACTACTCTGGGTTGAGAACTTGGGAACATTTCGTTTTGTTACCAGTCCTTTATTCCTAAACAAAACTGCAGAACCACCACCCCATACCCCAAAAGAATAAGAATAAAAGGAAGGCTGCAGTAGATTATTTGCATTGCATGAAATAATAATTTCACATTTGTAAGGGACACTTCCTTTCTGCGGAAGGGACTGATCTGTCACTTCAATTAGTTCTTGTTTATTTTATTTTATTGTCTTTATATTATATATAATATAATATATTACTCCCATCTTTTCATTTTATCTTTTACCTATTATATTTTACCTTTTGCCTTACTATGTATACCCAAATATACATGAGAATACAATAATTGAATTGAGAAATGCATTGCTCTTTAAAGATTTGTTTGTGTAATGAAGGGTCAAGTTTGTTGAAACAAATGTTTGACAAAACTATGTATAACGAAAGTGGTAGGTTTGGACATGAATCCAAGCTAAAAAAAAAAAAAAACGACTTATTTTTTTAGAATATAAATAAAATATTTTAACTTATTTATTAGAAAATGAACTATATTTTTTAATAAGTTTGTTCGAAAATTAGCAATGTGGTAAGAGGAAATACAAAGTGAAGTCAATTCTATTTTACATAATCATATACATTAGAATTAGTTAATCTTTGGGATACAAACCTTTGGATCTCTTCCTTAGACGGAAGATGAAACTAGATGATTTCATTGTAATTAAAGGCTACAACCAATATAAAGGTCATGATTAGTTTGATACTCAGTTTGATAATAAATTATATTAAAATGATACATAGTATGTGTTATCATAATTGAATGAGTTAGATGAAGAAACTTATATAGAACAACTTGGAATTGTTTTGGGCCAAGGATAGAAAGTTTGTAAATTAGTCAAGTCATTGACCTTCTTTGGTAAATGACATGACATTTTGAAATAGCGTTAAACTTGTGAGACGAGTTGAGTTTTTTATAAGTATTATACTTTTTTTCATAAATATTACAAATTTTTTCATAATAAGTAACTCTTGAATCCCTAATATTACATTTTGATTTAAATATATTATATTTTTTTATCAAAAGTATCACATTTTCTCTCATAAGTAATTGAGATGACTGAGGCTCGAACTCACAACCTCTCATATGGGAGTTCAATTCGGGTGTCATTAGATCACAATGTCTTGATTTAAATATTACATTTTGATTTAAATGTATTACATTTTTCATCTATGTCTAAGCAAAAAAAAAAAAGTATTACATTTTTCATCAAAAATACTTTTTCTTATAAGTAACAAAATTGATTAGTATTATATTTGTTAATTATTACTTGATTCAATCCGTCTCATAAATAAGAATCAATGTATTTCAAAAAAAAAAAAATATATAATAATAAATAAGAATCAATGAGACGGTCTAACAGGATAATCACCCTTTAAGATAAATTTTCTCGACTAAAAAGATGATTTTGGAAAGCTACTTTGATTAAGTTTTCACTTTGACATTTTGAAAGCAAATTATCAAATTTCTTAAATACCTTCACTTCTCTTATAAAATTATAGGATCCCTTCCCTCATTTTACAAATTTTTTATTTTAAGTGAATTTTTCCAAAATCTTTGCTCTACTTTTTTATGTGTAGACAAAATATGTGAAATGGAAAACTCGATTGTGTTAACGTTATATAAGTTGTAACATTTTTTCCCTCTAGCATTGTTTGACTGCATGGAACACTTATGTGTCCATTTTCTCTATGAAGCACGTTTAGGTGACCCAGTACAATATCGTTGGATGTGTCAATTTAAAAGATTCCTCAATCACTTGAAGTTCAAAATGAAAAATAAGAGTTATGTTGAAGGTTCAATTGATGATGCATATATGCTTGAAGAGTCAGCACACTTTGCATCATTTTTATTTTGACGATGATGTGCAGTGTAGAAGAACAAGGATAGGTCGTAACCTAAATGATGGCGGCATTGATCCTAACTTGTCAATTACTTTGTCAATATTTAATCAACCAGATCGGTCGATGGGCAAGAGAAATATAAGATATTTGAGTGCAGAAGAACATTTCGCCGCTCATCAATATGTGTTACTGAATTATGAGGAGGTTCAACCTATTTTAAGGTATGTGTGCCCTACTTTTGGTTTCAAATGGTTTACGACGCCACAATCCTGGTTGTACTGATCAAGATGTAGAGAATGAAATCGAAAGGAATTTTGCACATTGGTTTAAAGAATACGTAAGATGTAATGTGCTTTGCCATTCTTGATTCGTTATTAACAATATTTGTTCTTATATGACATTTTCTTTATATTTATTTTTAGGTATGTAACCCAATGAACAATGTGTGTAACCAATCACTCATTGATTTGACATTTGGACCGATAATGGAGGTTAGCACATACACTGGGTATGTTGTTAATGGGTTCAAGTTTCAGACTGAAGCATATTGCTGTAGAAAGTCGATTTCTAAGTTCTAACTATGGAGTGTATATTAAGGGCAGTGGTTTAGCACAATTTGAATCAATTTTTTTTTTTGGCATGTTGCAAGAGGTTGTTGAGGTTGAGTACCCAAATGTTCCAATTAAAAAGGTTGTTCTCTTTAAGTGTGAGTGGTTTGACCCAACACTGAATATTGGGTCACGATTCAATTCTGAATATGGTATCGTTGATGTGCACTACAATAAACGATATAGGAAGTATGATCATTTTATCATTGCACAAAGTGCATGTCAGGTGTGTTATATTCCATACCCACGAGGTATAAGGGAGAAAATTAGGGATGGCAACGGGATGGGGGCGGGGGCGGGGAGTATACTCCCCATCCCCGTCCCCGAATCCCCATCCCCGTCCCCGTCCCCATCCCCGGCGGGGAATTGAAAATAGTCCCCATCCCCGTCCCCGCGGGGAATTAGGCGGGGACGGGGATTCCCCATCCCCGTCAACTCTTAGTTAAAATTTTAAATTTTAAAAATAAAACCTAAATTTTATATATATATATATATATATATATATATATATATATATATATATATATATATATATATATATATATATATATATCTTTATTTATTTAATTATATATCTATTTAATTATAAAAATTAATCGGGGACAGGGCGGGGCGGGGAGGGGTGTCCCCGTCCCCGTTCTCCGAAAATTTTCCTTATTCCCGTCCCCTTCGGGGCGGGGATTGGGGATCCCTGTCGGGGACGGGGCACATTGCCATCCCTAGAGAAAATGAATTGGTGGGTAGTGTTGAATGTACGCCCTAGAAGAGCTATTGACAGTTCCTATAGCTCTAGTTACACATATTTACAGGATAGCACACTCTTGCCTACATATGGATGTGATCAAAGTATTCAAGATGACATGCATGAGTTAGTGCATGAATCATTACAAATGAATGAAGTGAAATTACCTCAAAGTGAAAATCAATGGTCCAACCAAGGTGTCCAAACTGAAGATTCAGAAGAAGATGATTGTGAAAAATTTGAAGAAAATGACAATGATAATGATGAATTCGAAAATGATGAGGGTGATTTTTAATTTAGATTTAAAATTTAAATAATTTGAATGTCTATTTTAATTAGTGCTTGATATGTGTTTTTATTTGTTTAAGAACTTTTACTTTGATATAATTAATACATTAAGGAGACGTTTGGTTCAGGTTATATAAGATAACCAATGTTATATTTGTGTGGGAATGTAATATAACCTCATTGCAAGGAGATGTGAGGTTATTTGCTAATTTTGTCATTTTAATTCATTGCTTAAGTTTTTTTTTATTATAAAAGAAGGGGGATACCCTATATATATACACACTATTGCCTCAATTGAGGTTCAAACCTTACATCTCCCACTTAAAGAAGCAACCCAATACCATTAGACTACAAGCCACTTAGTATTAATTTTTTAAGTTAATTATTATTCAAACTATTAGTTAATTAATTTTAAATCGTTTATTTCTATATTTTACCATTGTCTTATTTATTTATTTTAATTTTAAATTTATTAAAATACATAAAAATAGATTAAAAGTATTAAAATAAAAATAATCATCAACCATAAAAAAAAATAACTCTTCAACCATTATATTATATACCTCAATTTGAAACCAAACACATGAATCAAACATTCCTAATAATCTAATATTTCCAACAATCTAACATTTCTTGAGGTAATATAACATTTCGTGAACCAAACGCCCCTAAAACCTTTAAGCTAAAAAAAAAAAAAAAAAATGTAAATGGCCGGCCTCTTAATCACTCTGCAGTCTGCCCCAACATTTCACTCCTCCCTCCTCCCTCGTTACTCCTTCAGACCTTCACTCTGCCCCACTCGACCACGCACCGGCAGCTCCTCATTCCGCCTCACTCGACGACGCACCGGAAAGTCGGCAACGACACTCCTCATTTCACCAGCAACAAGCCATTGAAGTAAGTTATTCATGTTCCTTCCTCCTTCCGCCCTCACTTGGCCTTTTTGCTAATTTCTTGGTGATTTATGAATAAGTGTTGATTATTAAGTTGTGTGCTTCTGATTAATATGGTGGCTGCTAAAATTTTTGTGTGCTAATTTCTATGTGCTTCTGAATGTTAGGGTTTAAATTTTTTTGGTTAATATAGAGTTCGTTTGTATTTTTAATTTTTTTTTTTTAGTGTGAAATGTTCAGTGTACAACTAAATATTATTTTGATAAGAAGTTGTGTGCAGAGCTCAACTAGTTTCAAAAAGTCACTGATCAACTCTGTTGCAGACTAATTTTATTGACTGACTTGTTAAATTAGTGGGTCTTGAAGCTTTTTTTCATATGGAATTTGGTTAATTTGCTGGTAGTCTGTTTAGGTAATTTTGTAGTTTGATTTATGTGCACTCCGTAGTCATATTGTACTATCATAATATGCTTGATAAATGCTGCCTCCCTTGTAATGCAACTAACTGAGCTAAGTTTGTAAGCCAATTTAGTTCTTTTGAATCCTTGGGACCATCGCTGCACACGGGTGGTTCAATCCCGATGACTGAGCATAGGCGAAGATTAGTAAGTCTTTTAATAATTAATGTTTAAATACAGTTTAAAGTTTTACAATATTAATGTTTGGTTTATTGTTGTTGGATAGAAAGAAAAGCTCGGAGAGGAGCCATCACATGCAGTTTTGTTTCAAGCCACACACAAACGCAAAAACAAAAACACCGATGCCTTTGTGTGCAAAAAAGCTCAACAAGTCATGGTAAGAATCTCAATTCTATAATCTAACTTTGGTTACCATTGACCATTATAAGCTACTAGTTAAGTATTGAAGTGTGGTTCACTGCTAGGTTTTAACCTTTGCACAATAAGGGACTAAGTGAACTCTTGTCAATTAAAAGAAACCAATCTCATTATGTGTTCACTGCTAGGTGTTTTAACCTTTGCACATTTCTTTGTTTCTGTATATAAGCTGTGTTGCTTTTAGAGACATCATTTCATGAGTTAATTTTGAGATACTCTATTTCAGAAAGATGCAACATTGTTCAAATTACTTAAATCTCTTTAGTTGAGAATACCTAATCATAGTTGGTTGCTGAAATTTTCTGATTCATCTACACTTGCTTTCTTATTAGTGAACATTCAATAATATATGAGTTTTAAAAAATTCTGTCAAATGTCAATATAGGAAACTGTGAGTCAAATGCAGCAAACTCAACCAAAACTTGAACAAGCAACTGCTTGGTATGAGGCAGCAGGTGGTCTTAAGAAAGGAGATTATGTGTTTCGGTTTGGATCAGATACCCAACACTACTTCCCCAAGGTGGCCAGGCAGAGGAAGTCGAGATATGGAGAATCATCCTCACATGCAGCTTGTGAGGAAAGAATTAAACAATTAGAGCAAACCCACAAAGAGCTTTTAGAGCAAAATAAGAAGATTATGGAGTTGTTCCAAGTTATATGTAGTGCACATCCGGAGTTGTTACAATCTGTTGCTCCTACAGCTTATAGCAATCAAAGTAGTGGTGTTGGGCTAGATAATCTTAACGTGAATGATGATTCATCACAATCTTCATCGTAATCTCAATACTTCAATTTTTGACCAAGTACTGGTTGGAATTTGTGATGCTATTTGTAGACATAAATGTAGAAATATTTAGAATTGTAAATTAGTTACTACTTTTTGAAATATAAAGTAGCTACTACTTTTTGAAATGTGAAGTTAAATAACCTTTACATGCAATTAAAATTGCTATTTTTTGGTAATGCTACATTGTTATAAAAGTATTATTTGTATTAAAATTACTATTGCAAGGTAGATAATATAAGTTAAATTAATAAAGTGGTGAAATGAAAAATTACTTTTGACACTTGGTGGTCGGAAATTTACTTTGTATAATTACGGAGTCAAGATTTTTGACCACCTAGTGGTCGGACTTTCGTCCACAAAACGTCCTTCGTAATTACACGGAGTGCGTTTTTCGAACACTGGTGGTCGGAAATAATCTCGTTGCCAACTTTCGTACTTTCCCATGCTGCAAATGTTTTTGACACCATTATTTTTGTGGCCGGTATTTTCGATCGCTACATGGGGTGGATGGAAATACCGACAAGGGTTTTTGCGGATTCTAAAAGTGGTCGAAAATGTGGTCAGAACATTGCTTTCCGATAAGATTTTGGCGATTTCCGACCACTTTCTGATGGTCAAAAAATTGCTGATTTCCAGCAGTGTTGTCATGAGGAATTAGACTAAAACCCTGGGATTAAAGTTCTATTGTTGATTCTCAACCTAGTTGGCACCTAGATTCAAAAGGGTCATCTAAATTATAGAATGAAATGTGGTCACCGTGGGGCTCTTGAACTCTTATCCACTCCTAGCTAGTTGAAAAAGTGAGGCCCGTATATTGCTAGGTTAGCGTACGTGTTGTATTGATTTTTAAGTGTTAGTTGACATAAGTAGAGTATATATGCAAAATACTCTTCGAAAGAATCATTTATGAGATAAAGAAGTGTGACTGCTTCAAAAGAGAATTATATGAGCTCATTTAAAAAAAAAAAAAAAATCCTACAGAACCAAACAAGGCATTTTATGGCCAAAATAATGGGCATAAGCACAAGAATTGAACAAATGAGAACTTCAAGACCATACCTCATAAAGGAATATTTCAAGATCTCCAACAATTATATGTGAAGATCCATTGCATGAATATCATTTTATACATCAGCTAGGCTTTTGGCTAGTGCTGATCTCTAAACCTTCAACTGACGCAACATATATTGTAATGTAGAGCTAAACAAAGAGCATTTTAACATATTGTATACACAATTTTTGGGCTTCAAATGTTGTCTTTGAACATATATATTTCACAAAAATCCAGATCCCATCTAACAGATTAATATTTTACATTCTTAATTTCTACTCAGTATTCACATATCATCATGCATTACCAGCAGCTAGCAGCCAAGATAACCTATGACTATCGGCATGCAAACTACAATAGACGACTAGTCCATTTCTCGAGGGCGAGCAGCCCAGAGAGAGCTTAAGGCATGAAGGCGTTGGAAGTACTCCCCAAATGCAAGCAGACCCCTGGCTGCTTGGTGGGTTGTAAGAATACTCGACATCTGCTGCAAAGTCTGCTTGCGCAGGTTATCTGCCTGTAGTATTTCAAACACAGGAGGAAAAATGTCAGGATCAAACGCTTACTACTACGCAAAAAGTTATAGTGCGCCACCAATTGCTGGACTTAGCCCTTGGCCTCTGCCCAACAATTCCCCTCCCATTCACTGGCCTCCGACCAGGCGCCCAACAATTCCCCCTCCCATTCACTTGCCTCCGCCCAACAATTCCCCCTCCCAGCACCTGCCACTTGAACCCGTGACCTGGCTCTGATACCAGTTGTTAAGATCAAACACTTACCACTATGCCAAAAGCTATAGTTCACAACAACTTTACTTCCTTCTATACCACCATCACATTTTCGAGAGACAGGGTGTTGGACTTGGGCCTGGCCTCTGCCTAATAATCTCCTAGCCACCAATTGCTAGATTTGGCCCTTCACTGGCCTCCTCCCGACAGAAAACATAGAAAAGTGAACTAAAGTAAGAAAAGTAGACTACAAGTTTGTACTACCCAGCCTCCATTCCTATGTGGTGAACTTTGGAGATAACAATGTGGTATATATATTCAAGGTTGTGAAGATAAAAGAGTGATGTTGTACCTGGTTGACAAAGCTTTCTATTGACTCTAATTTCTCCATAGCAGAAGACATCTGAGAACCATAAATTACTGCGTCGGTGCTCATAGAAGCCATGCTTTGGGCCAGACTCTGCTGTAGTTTATCCATTCCTTGTGTGAGAGCCTCCTCAGCCTGCTGGCAACAGTCTCTCAGGCTACAAACATTGAAGAGTTGTTCATCTGCCAAGGGCTCAAGCTGTGGCATTACTGCCTGCAAACAGAAGAAGCCGAAGAAATTGTGTCTTATTTATATGTTTATCGTTTTTATGTTTCAAGGGCAGTGGCCAAGGGATTACATTTATCAGTTCTGATGGACGGAAACCTCCAATCCAGAGGAAGAAGCGCTCTAGCGAAGTTCTCCACATCCCAGATAATAAGTAGAAGACATCAGCTTTGGCAACTTCAGCTCTCATCCGGAAGAGTTCATAATAGTGGTTTAAGACATTCTCAATTACCAACTGGAGCTCCACATCACTACTTGTGTTAGACAGCAAAATGCTTCTGAGTTCTGAAATTTTCTTTTGCTGTTCTTCGACCCAGTGCGCATATTCCATCTCAAACGCAACAATTCCTGCACATAAACTAGAGGGGTTAGTTAGACTTCAGAGCAAGAAATTTCAGTTTCACTTGAGGGAGGTCACAGAGAGATAATCATAAAGGTGATAAAATGAGCCTTACCTGGATTTATTGTCCCATACATTCCCATTTTGGTAGTGGGACCTAACATATATACTCCCTGCAAATGATATTTCTTGGTCAATATAATATGCAGATGTATAATCTTTGAGAAAGAGGTATGCAAACCTTACCTGATGTCTGGTTTTCTCAATCTCCAGTTCGAGTTGTGCTAGCTTCAAACGGCTCATTTCCAATTGCTGAATATAAGCCTAAGAGAAATTTTAGAAAGTAATCAACAATGAGAAGACGAGAACTTGGGGGATTATCTGAAATTGGCAAACAACCTTTTTAGCAGCATTTGTTTATTACCTTCTTTCGCAGACGACTTTTTCTTGCAGCTTCACGGTTTTGTGCTAAACGCCTTTGTGCCTGTCTTTGAAATAGAAATAGACTTGGTTTTCTTTTTCACATCAAAGATATTCTTGTTCATTTAATGCTCATTTAGCCATTAGAGAGAGAGAGAGAGAGGGTATGCTTATCACCTTATCTGCAATGCCCTTTCCTGCTTGATGTGCCTGATTATCGCCCTGGTTGTCTCCCGATCCAGAGGGTACCACTGATTCATTAGACATGTACTCGGACTATAATGTCCAAATTACGAAAGAAATGAATTAAGTCATGGAGGTGAAAAAAACCATATATTTGACTGCTTAATTGAAGAGAAGACTTCATTGTTTACCTTGTCATCTGCCTGTGTGACCATACAATCACCAGAGCAAGGGATGATATCACTTCTAAGTGTATCCTCCCAAACACTCATCTGGTGAAACTGCTCATATATGCCCATCCTTCCTGCAGGCCCAAATTGAGTTACTGGAGAACTCATCTTCATGTTCATGGCTTCATATGAAACCATCTACCCAACCTAAACAACATAATTATAAACTTAGTAAACACGAGCTACAACATAGATGCTAACTTTTATCATAGAAATCTCAGTTTGTAACGATATATCTAAATTAATCAGGTTCCCACTATGATCACTTATATAAACTTGAGCTTCTACTTTATTGCACCAATGGACTATCCCATGCTTGTTTATAGGTTAAGATAAGAAATTCATATCAATGGAAAGACATGAAGTCTAGAAAAAATAAGTTGTTGCAAAACTGCCCTTTAGCATGTATATAGCAAGAAAGGAAAGTAGGTCTTCTAAAATAAGATATGAGTGAGAATCAATAAGTCAGAATAAGCATATATCAACTCAGAAATATGCTTCCACAGTTCCATGAAAAGGGACACTGTAGGAGACCAAATGTTCTGTTGCAAATTGCAAATATAATTTGAGTTAATACCATCTAAGGTCCTCCGAGTATAGTGGTTTTGCCACGTTTCGTCCTAAACTTTCAAATTAACCATCCGTGGTCCTTCGATTTTCAAATTTAACCATTCGTGGTCCAAGTTAACCACCCATGGTCCTTCAACTATTAAATTTTAACCAACCATGGTCCTTTCAAGAGGACCACGGCTGGTTAAATTTTGAAAGTTGAAGGACCATGGGTGGTTAACTCGGACCACGAATGGCTAAATTTGAAAGTCGAATGACCACAGATGGTCAATTTGAAAGTTTAGGACTTAACGTGGCAAGACCACTATACTCGGAGGACTTCATGCGGCATTAACTCAATATAATTTATGCTTTTAAGAATTCTGAGGTGGCCAAGCTTGTTGTGTATATATATATATATATATATATATATATATATATATATATATATATATATATATAAACTTATAACCTATGATTCTGAGATATGAACTTTTTCTGCCTCCTTATTCAAGAACGACATTCAACACCAAATATGGAAGTTCAAAAAAAAAAAAAAAAAAATTCATGAAAAGCCAATATCTGTCAAACATAAATTTGATTGACACCATCCATCAAACACAAAGTGGGCATAGCTTATCTGGTGAAGAAAATCAAATGAAAAACCATTGCTTCATTTCACAGAAACAGCTATAAACTTTGCATATTGCCCACAAACATTATCTATCAAGAATCGCAGTAAGGAATATAAACTTGTAGATTTCTAAGATACATGCACGGGCATACATGTATGCATGCATACAGACAGTAAATATGAGTAAAAAGAAAGCATATGCTATATAGAATAGAACATGAACTCCATAATAGGAAGCAGATTAAAACAGATGAAAATTAGAGGCCAAGCTGACCAATTATTGGAGTAAGTGCAAATTGTTGGGCATTTGAAGAGAGCTTAGAGTTGAGCTTTGAGTCGATAATTATAGTATCAGAGGCCTCCATGGCCAAAAGCACACAGAAAGGACTGCAACTACGAGAGAGCTAGCTAACTGTTTGCCAAAAAGTAATAAACAAAAAAAAAAAAAAAAAAAAAAAAAAAAAAACTCAAAAAGCAATAAAGTACCATATCAAACCAAGGCAAATTAAACTGTGCATCCGTATGCACCATGGTGCATACGGATGCAAAAACGACGTTGTTTTATTAAAAAGGCGTGTCTCCCCTTTAAAAAAAAATTCAAGTTCGATTCCCAGAAACAACATATGAATTAAAATTTCAGAATCGATGAACTATAATTCCATAATCGATGAACTATAATTCCATAATCTAATCTGTGAACTAAAAATTCCAGAATGAATGAACTAAAATTTCAGAATCGATGAACTACAATTTCAGAATCGATTAACTATAATTCCAGAATCAATGAACTAAAATTCTATAATCTATGAACTAAAATTCCAGAATGAATGAACAACATGTTGTTGCTGGGAATCGAACCTGATTTCTTTTTTTAAGGGGAGACACGCGTTTTTAATAAAACGACGTCGTTTTTGCATCCGTATGCACCATGCATGATGCATACGGATGCACAGCATAACTATCCTCAAACCAAACCCAATCAAACCGGCCAAATAACTTGGTATGTAGTCAATTGTTATATCGTGCACCACGGTGCACAAAACTGGCCCAAAACGACGACGTTTTTATAAGTTAGTGGGGAGTTGACGCGACGGATACCGTTTCATCCATCTAATCTCGTTACAATTTTTTTTTAACACTTATATTTATGTGTATTATGTACTATGCTAGAATGCTAGATTATGTGTATTATGTTAGGAGTTTATGTGTGTTCTACTATACAATTCTATACATACGAAACAAGGAATTTTTTTAGAAGTTAAGGACTGAAACGAGAAATAGAATTTCCAAAAAAAAAAAAAAACTATTAATTAAAAGATACAAAATGACGTCGTTTTGGGCTAGAGCGCATAATATTATGCGCCCTAGTGCACGATATAATTTGCCTTTGGTAGTCAATAGCGGAATGCAAACCTCTTTCTACTCCTATATCTGTTTCGAAAACTGTTCCCTTTAGTGCAGACTTATATGATGATCCTACGCAATACAGGAGTCTGGCTGGAGCACTACAATATCTCACTGTTACACGACTTGATTTATCCTTTGTGGTTAATCAGCTTTGTCAGCACATGCATGCTCCTACAACATCACACTGGGAGCAACTGAATCGTGTCTTGAGGTATGTTAAAGGAACAATTGGGCTTGGGTTGCGTATACGGAAATCGATGTTAAAGGAAATTCATGTTTTTTCTGATTCTGATTGGGTTGGTTGTCCAGAAGATCGTAAGTCCACTAGTGGTTTCGCTGTTTTTTTTTTTGGGGACTAATCTTATATATCTTGGGTCTGTAAGAAGCAAAGAACTGTGACTAGATCTTCTACTGAGACTGAATATAAAGCTCTAGCAGATGTTTGTGCTGAAGTAACTTGGATCGTTTCACTACTGTGTGAGATCAAAGTTTCAGGTATCTCTGTCCCTAAACTATGGTGTGATAATCTTGGTGCTACTTATATATGTGCAAATCCCATCTTCCATGCTCGTACCAAGTACATTAAGATAGATTATCACTTTGTTCGAGATAAAGTTGCTGCTGGAGATATTCAAGTCAAATTTCATCTCAATAAATGATCAGACATATTTATAAAAGCTTTGCCTAGTCCTAGATTTCTTTGTCTAGTCCTAGATTTTCTTTTCTTAGAGACAAGGTACAGGCTACGAGCATGGCAAATTATTGTGTGGACCATGGTCCACACAATGTTATGTGGACCATAACAAAAGTACATTTTTAATATACTAAATGTACATTAATTTTGTACTGAATGTACATTATACAATATAATGTACACTCAGAACAAAAATAATGTACATTCCCTGAATACAATGTACATTATTTTTGTATTGAATGTACATTATTTTACAGTAGACAAACTATGATACACACAACTTGTGTGGACCATGGTCCACACAATAATGATTGTACTAGCATACCATGTGCTTGAGAAGGAATATTAGGACTAATATTAGGACTCTATGTATTTGAGTCATATGACTCCCTATCCTAATCTCCTTTTGACCCTCCAAAAAACGATCACAAATCCACGGCCGAAAATAAAAATTCAGTGATTAATTCTCATTTTCACTCAATTATTTGGTTATTATTCAAAAATTTTAAAAAAATTCGTTTGTACACACACATCTTTTATTTATTGTTGAGAGTTTTTGGTGTTTAAAATTAAAATCATTCTTTCAAAAAGGCTGAACTCCAACCCTAATTAAAATTAAAATCATTGATTCACTGTAAGTGGTTTAATGGATGGTTTGGTAGTTAAATACTAGTACCTATTCAAGAAAATAATTTATAAACGTAGAAGTAATAAACCAGCACAACAAAGAGCAAATTAAATTATACGTTTAGTTATCGGTTATTATGACATTGTCACATTTAGGGGGTTTTTTATTCAAGCATTGAAATTGAAATGATAATTATAATCAAATACTTGGTAATGGTTATGAGTTTGAATAGAAGAAGTATTTTTAATTTTTTTTTTTAAACAAGTAGTTTTAATTTGTTTTTGGTATTAAATAGAAATTGGAATAGGTGTGTGTCGTAATTCCAATAGCTTATTCCAAAGGCTATGATGCAGATTTTGTTCCGCTAAATTTTCAATTAGCATACTAATTAGTACTAGACCTAACTTATCTATTTTGTCATAATAATTTTACCAATTACAAGTTGAGTTTACAAGACTAAACCCTAACAAAATTAGAAACAATGACTATATTTAAAAAAAAAAACACACACACACACAATTGATAGAGAAAAGTGAATTTTACAAGTAGGATTTTATTATTTATTTATTTTTATTTATTTTTATTTTTTTAATATTTTGTTGGTAACTAAGAGGAAGAGGGAAACCCACTAGTTAGTGTCTTGGCATTGATCCTTTTTTGCTTTTTTTATTTGCTTTATATCCCTTTAAGGTGGATGACAAATATAGCCTAACTAGTGAGTCATAGTGCAGTGAATCTTTGGTAGAAATGATACCTAAAAATTAGTTATTGTGGAGAGAGTGCTCAAGGCTCTTTATACTCCATACTTCTTCTTCTTCTTCTTTTTTAATGAGGGATCCAAGTTTATAGCTTAATATTAACATATACTATTTCTTTAAATACTTTATAGCTTTAACACATTCTTAATATAATCAAGTATAAATGAAAATATTCTTCTTCTTCTTTTTATCAGCATAAGAGACGAGTAAAAAAGAAGTTAAATGAATCTGAGTCATACAACTTTTATGACATCGATCAAATACAATGACTGAAATCATTAAAATGGAACTCAAATACTTGAATGCTAAGTTTCAAACATAGGTTGCCTTATCATTAATGCCAAACTTTTAAACTCACCTATCAAGCCATATTTTCTTCTACTACCCGTTAGATTAATGATGATTTTGATTATTTTTTTAAAGCGTATACTAGTAGATTAGTTAACTTTTCAACAATGTTTGGTAAGGAGGAACTGTTGGTCTATAGGGTACAAATTAAAAGAGACAATTCTTATATCAAGATGAGTTTATGGGAAATTATTAATTCCATTAGTATGCACTTACAATGCTTTAGCGTAATAAAAAAATGTATTGTTTAGAAATAAAATATTGTTTTGTGATGTAAATAATTTTGTAATAAAATTAATTACCCGAAACAATTTATTATATATGTAAATATAATTATTTTATCAACATAACATTATTATTGAGTTAATTTCACCAAAGGTCCTTTGTCTTTGGTGATAATTTTAAATTTGGTCCCAGACTATTATTTTTGTCATTTAACATTCCAGACTATTGTTTTTTGGTCACTTTTAGTCCTTCTCGTGACTTTTTCTATTTTTAGTAAAGACATTTTTGTCTTTT